TCAACAACAAACCTAGGTTGCAAAGAGGTGAACAGGAGAGGCAAAGATTGTTAAATTTCTTGGGTTATGGAGATGATAGAGGGAAGTGTCGTTATATATGTTGTTTAATTCTTGATACTAATAGAGAAATGTGGGTTAAAATAGATTCCTTAAAAACTTGAGTACCCAATAAAACATAATATTCTCTCCCTTTTCTTTTTTAAATTACCTTATTTTAGTAACTGAAATATATGTAAAAATGTAGGCAAGATCAATCAGTAGAGTAGAAGGAGATCAACAGAGAGGGAGGAAGGATGGGAAAGGGAGGAAATATGGAATGCATTTAACAAAATCATGTTATATACTGATATAAAGGTACCAAAGGGAATTTCACTTTCAATTTATATGTAGAAAGTACCACTTAATAACAAATAAACAAATAAGCCAGGCACAGTGGCACATGCCACATGCCTGTAATCCCAGCAGCTTGGGAAACTGAGGCAGAAGGATCACAAGTTCAAAGCCAGCCTCCGCAATTTTCAAATAAAAATAAAAAGGGCTAGAGATGTGGCTCAGTTGTAAAGCACCCTTAGGTTCAATCCCCAGCACCAAAAATAAATAAATAAATAGATGATAGATAAGATAGATAAAATGGGCAAAAGGAAGATCAATAGACAGAGGAAGAAAAATAGGGGGAGGAAGGAGGGCAGGGAAAGCAGGGTGGGGGGCAGGAGTGGGGATTGAAATAAAATTCATGCAAGTATGAGTTTGTCAAAATGAACCCAGCTACTATGTGTAACTGTAAGGCTCTAATAAAAAAAAAAAGAAATAGAAATAGTTATATACAAATACTATGAGGCATATGACCTTTATTTTATTTCTAAGGTGTCTAAATTCAGGCATTTGATCATAAACATTGTATGTTACCATTCTAGAGAAGTCTTTAGGAACATACTCAGACTTTGCCATAAACAAGTTTTGTAATAAAATTGATGTGAGAGTTGTTTCTTTTGAAATTGGATACAGTGAATGAGTGCTGTCAGAAATACAAAATACAGATCGCGACTGTTAATAGCGCAGATGAGAAGTTTCTTAGTCGTGTAACTGGGGAATTAAGCTGTCTAGAGAACCACGGAAAAGTACCACTCAAAAATACCACTGTTCTCAGCACAGTTTCCAGCACTCTTCTGGTTGATCTTTCCCCTGGGTGATGAAAAGGAAATCAACCCTGGAAGCAAATCTATTACAGTTTATTTATGGTTAAGATGTTCTGCGGTCCTCTCTTACTTTTTTTTTTTTACTCTAGAATTACACATTTTCAAAGACTACAAAGTACATGAAAGTTTGATTTAATTTATCAAATGTATAGATTCTTCTTAAAGTTATTATTTCTTCTTGTTCTTCTTACATCCCTCAATTATTTTACTGAATTCTTTATCAGTAAAGCTAAATAATTATTAGAGTTTTTTTTCTGTATGCAGAGTCATAAAGAATCAATGGTCACCATGAAAGTAAAATAAAAATCCATTATATAGAAAAAAAATGAGATATATTTACATACAATAAAGTTTACCGTGTGAAGCATGCAATTTTGCTTATTTTAATGTTCATGAATTTGTATAATCATCCCGTTGGAAAGAACCTTAGGAGTCACCCACCATAAATACCACCTTCCTAAGTACTTTGAAGCCTCAAACTTATTCTGCCTTTATGGATTTGCCTGGTATGGATATTTCTATAAATGGAATCATCCGATAAGGAGCCTTTGACATCTGAGTTCTTTCATTTAGCATAATGTCTTTCCGTTCATCTTTGCTGTATCAGGCATCAGTTCTTGCAATCTTTTCATGGAACAGTATTTAATTATATAGATATATCATATTTTATTAATTGATAAACATTTGGGTTATTTTAATTTATTGGCCATTATGAATAATGCTGCCATGAACATTCATGGATAGTTTTTGGTAGGTGTATCTTGTCATTTCTCTTGAGTATGATGTACCTAGGAGTGGAAATGCTGGATCACAGGGAAACCACTGACCTCTTTTCCAAAGCAGCTGAACAATTTTACGTTCTCCCAACAACGCATGGAGGGTTCAGTTTCTCCATGTCCTTGCCAAACACTTGTTATTGTCTGCCTTTGATTATAGCCATTCTAAAGAACGTGAAGTGCTATGTCACTGATTTTTATTTTATTTGTATTTCCCAAGTGACATGATATTTAGCATCTTTAAGGCCATAAGCCTTTTTTATATTTTCATTGCAGGAATATCTATTCAATTCTTTGCCCATTTTTAAATTGAATTATTTCTTTTCATTTTTTAATTATAATAGTTCTTTATATATTCTGGACACTATACTTTTATCAAGTATATAATTTGGCAGTATTTTTCCCTATTTCATGAATTTCCTTCAACTTTATTTATGATGCACTTTGAAGCACATATTTTTTTTTAGATTTTTATGTCCAATTTTTCTATTTTCACTTTGATTGCTTGTGTTTTAGGTATGATATTTGAGAAACTGTTGCCTGATCTGAGGTTATGAAGATGTATACCCATGCTTGCTTCTAAGGTTTTTGATTCATCTTGAATTAAACTTCCTATATGGTGTGAGGTAGGGGTCCAATTCCATTCTTTGGCACATGTGGCTACCAAGTTGTCCCAGCACCATTTGTTGAGGAGACTGTTTTCCCCCATTGAATTCTCTTGGCACTCTTGTTAGGAATTAAACATGAATACACAGGTTTATTTCTGGACTTGATTCTATTCTATCACCTGTCTGTCTATCCTCACGTTAAGTGCCACAAGGTCTCCACTGCGGCAGCTTAAGTCTTGAAATTGGGAAATGTGAGTCCTCCAACTTTTTTCTTGTTTTCCAAGATTGTTCTGACTGTTATGGACCCCCTGAACTTCCATATGAACTTCAGGATCATGTTGTCAATTTCTGAAAAAAAAAAATATATAGCACCTGGACTTTTGACAGGTATTTCATTGAAACTTAAAGTCGATTTGGAGTGTATTGCCATATTCCAAGCCATAAACACAGGATGTTTTCCATTTATATAGGTCCTCTTTGATTTATTTCATCAACGTTTTATAGTTTTCAGCTTAAGTCTGACACTTCTTTTGTTAAATTTATTTTAGGGATGCAATTGCAAATGAAATTGTTTTCTTAATTTTGGTATTGTTAATTACAAATATACAGAAATACAATTTTTTTGTATATTGATCTTGTGTTTTTTGTGAATATCTTAAGATTTTCTATATGTAAGACCTTCCCCTTTATTTCTTTAGCCATGGTTTCCTTTAGGTCTGCTTTTTAAAATAACACGTTTAACATACCTAGTTCAAAATCATTATATAGTAACAGAATTGTCAAAGCAGAGGGTCCAGATGGATGGCAGTTTCAGTTTCAGAGTGTCATCTTGAGGTATCATCTTGGAGTGAGCCATGCATGTTCGTCTTGGGCAGAAGAAACCATGCTCTGTTAAAGCCCAAGAACAGAAATTCAGAGGTTTGTCACCATGATGATTTTCCTGGACAAGACTCATGATGAGTGATCAGTTGATAGGGTCAGGATGTCACTGTGTCTTGGGAGTGTTCTCCTTTTATGGGGGTTGTGTTTGGTGAGATTGATAAGCACCCTTGTCTGGTGTTCCTGACATGATTTGGAAGGTCCACATGTCCAGGTACTGCTTGATTTAGTTTGATATGCTGGCATATATAAATTATTTATCAATTTGTGCCTTAAGGTTGTACTGGGCAGATGGTGGTTGTTTACTTGTACAAATAAGGTATAGAGTCACTCTACCTTGATATTCATGCTCAAAATGAAGTAGCTCATGGCAAACTACTGCTTTACATTTGGAGTAACTCGGGGCTATGCACAGCCTGAGAAGTGCTGCTCTGTATATCATGGAGCGACTCTGAGCAGAGCACAGCCTGCTGTCCACGGATGACTAGAACCACCTAAGCTCCCATTCTTTGCCAAGACCTTCTGTGTGCTTTGGGGGACACCTTCAAAGTTTTGCTGAGCCCTTCACAAGTCCATCTTAGTCTTCACTTCCTGCTTGAACAGAGTCTCAAGACCAGGCAGAGGAGAGCTCTGAGCCTCCTCAGGTGTGCCCTGAACAGGTGTACAGCACCTGACGTCTTACTCCCCTGCCTTTCTTAATTTTTTTTTTTTGGTTAAATGATTATCCACCATTATCCCAACAATTATCCACCATCTCAGGCAGCTGAGGTGTTCAGTAATTGACTTACTGTCCCCAACAAATTCTTCTGGGAAAAACAACTTGTTCACACTGGATGTGCCGAGTCAGCTCAAGGAAAGACATCCTCGCCAGTGGGGTCTGCCAGGGAACCACTAGACAGGTCAAATAACCCTAGCTCCCTGAGAATCGGGCTTTGAAAAAGCCCCAGGCCCATTCTGTCCCTCAGCAGCTGCCAGGATTCACTCTGGGATTTTCCACTGAGCCCGAGACTGTTGGATTTCAAGGAGACCATGGTATAGGAGGGGGTATGGATACTACACGCTAAAGTGCCACAAAGCTCACTTTATTGCCAAGATCCAGCTGTTTTTCTTGAACAATGCTCCCCAAATTGCTGTGAACCTTTGATTAATTTCCAGAGTTCTGAAAAAGTTGACTTTGACATTTTTTGCTACTGTTCTTGTTGGCTTTTATGAAGGAAAGAATTTTTTTTATGAAAGGAGGTCTTTACTCACCATTTTTGCTGACATCCTAGTATGTAATTTTGATGGAGACTTTCAAACCTTTACAAATGTGATGTACAATATGGAAGACACAAACCACATGTGGCTATTGAATCCTTGAAATGTGACTAGGGTAAATTGAGATGTGCTCCAAGTGGAAAATATATACTGAATTTCAAAGACTTAATTAAAAAAAGAATTTAAAATACCTCCTTAGTAATTCTTATTGTGAATATAAGTTGAGATGACACTACGTTGGCTATGTTGAATTAAATAATAAGGATTATTAAAATTAATCTTACCTTTAAAAATCTTTATTAATGTGGGTGGGTTAAGTAGAATTCTAAGATGATCCTCAATGAGTCATGCCTCTGTGACTGCTAGAAAATTTTAATTATATCCATGTCTTTCAATGTATTTCTATTGGACTGTGTTGATCTAGAACAAAAAAGAAGTACAAAGGAAACTACCTGGTAAGTTAGTAACAAGACTAAATCCATTTAAAATTAAAAGAAAATAGAAAGAAATAATAAATCAAAAACATAAAATATGGCTATAGGCCATTTGTTTGCAAAACACTATTAGTGGAATACTCTCAGGTGTTGAAAAGATGTGGCATTGTCTTAACTGATTCCTGAAAGCAGAATCTGAAGTGAAGTTCTTCAGGATGCAGTGTTATTGGGGAAGGTCTCCAAATACAACCAACAGCTGGGAGGGCGTCAGAGGGGACAGAAGGAGAAGTTAACCTGAGATGTAGTTGGAACAGGGGTCTCAGCCGATGCCACAGGAAGCTCTGGAGGTGGGGAGCATTTCCAGAGTAAAGACTGAACCCTGTACTCTGTATTAACCAGCCCTTGGATATGAGCCGTCTCCTAAGAGAAAGTGTAACCTTGGGCAGCTCCTGGGGAAGGATTTAGCTGTGAACTGTTGCTACAACGTCATGAAGCTGGGGAATGAGTGCCTCCACGCTGAAACAGGACCCAGAGAGCACACCACACCTCCACTGCAGAAGTCATCTCTACATATTGAATGAAAAGAAGCAGATTACAGATACTGTGTATGTTAAGCATTAGACTCTATGTTTATATATAGGCATTAGACCAGTTAGAAAAGGTACTCATGCACTCATAGTAGAGACTCCTTAGGGAGGGCAAAGGGAAGGATTGGTGGTTGCTGAGATGGGGGAAATATGTAATATCACATATTCTGATTTTTATTGCAATGATCATATGCTATCCAAGGTGGGGAAAGTATGGAAACTAATGAAATTTTCCATTTGGGCATTCCCTATAGTGAACAACTATGGGTTCCAGTTTGAAAATATCTCCTTTGATTGGGATATCGTCTGTCCCCCAGAGGTTTGTGTGCTAGAAGCTTGGTCCTCAGTGTGGTACTTTGAAATGATGGTGGAATCTTTTGGGGAGGACCTAGTAGAAGGTGAATTGATCACTGGCATTGAGGACACTGCCCTTGGATGGGATTAATTAAATTCTCAAGGGATCTGATTAGTTCCAGAGAGTGAGGTTTTCTAAAGGGTAAACTTGAGCCTAGTGTGTTGGCCTATAATCCCAGCTATTCAGGAGGCTGAGGCAAATAAAGTTCAAGGTCAGCCTCAGCAACACAGCAAGACTCTGTTTCAAAAAAAAAAGGGCTGGAGATACAGCTCAGTGGTAGAGTGCCCCTGGATTCAATCTCCAGTATTTTTTTAAAGGGGGGTGGGCCTGGTGAGGGGTAAATCTGGCCTCTAAATCTCTCTGGCTTTCTCTTGCCATGTGATCCCTCCCTCACAGGCACTCCCACAATGATGTCATCTGCCATGAAGCCCTCACCAGAGACCAAATATAGGGAGCTACCCAATTTTGAATTTTCAGGATCTAAAACTGTGAGCTCAACAAATCTCTTTTCTTTGTGCATTACCCAGGTTGAGGTATTTTGTCATAACAACAGAAAACAGACTAAGATAACATCCAAATTAGAATTGCTTTCTGAATTTGGCCTCCAACATGTCCCTAGACTACAAATAGGTGACAGTACCTGGAAGTTCTAGCATCAAAGAGAATGAAACCACCGTCATCGAACTCCTATTGGGCCAGATGACATCTGTCTCACTGTACAAACTTTATCTTTTATAAAGCCACATATGTTTATTTTTTTAAAAAAATTAGTTGTAGGTGAACACAATGCCTTTATTTTTATGTGGTGTGCTGAGGACCAAATCCAGTGCCTCACCCATGCTAGGCAAGCACTCTACCACTGAGCTACAACTCCAGCCCCAGTATCTGTTTATTTTATCTGGTTTAATTATTCCAGTGAATTTCTTGGTTCCAAAAAAGATAGTAGATATTAATTCTAGTCCTTTTACAATACCAGCAGAGTATCTCCTGTAAACCTGACTTTCTTAATCACCCAAAGATAGCGGTTAAGGACCCCTTTGTACTTGAAAAATGAAGGGGGCTCTTCTAGACAAAGGTAGAAATAGTATCTGCCACCACCTTGTTGGGTGGGATTTATTTATTTATTTATTTAGGGTATCAAGGATTGAACTCAGGGGACCTTGACCACTAAGCCTCATCCCCAGCCCTACTTTGTATTTTATTTAGAGACCGGGTCTCACTGAGTTGCTTAGCACCTTGCTGTTGCTAAGGCTGGTTTTTGAACTCGTGATTTTCCTGCCTCATCCTCCAGAGCCACTGGGATTACAGATGTGCACCACTGTGCCCAGCTTGGGATTTATTTTAATGGTCCCATAAACTCCGGTGATGACTATTGAACAATCAGTTTAGTAACTTGCACTGACCAATTAGATTTGACACAGAAACTTGGGGAGGTTGGGTGGTGTCCAGGTAGTGATTATTTGGCAACCAGTGCAAAATTAGTTTTGCACTGGTTTTTATAGCTATGACAGTTATAGCTATGGCAAAAATACCCAACAGGAACAGCACAGATTTATCTTGTCTCATGGTTTCAGAGAATGGTCAGCTGGCTCAAAGACAGAAACATGGTGGAAGGGCACAGCAGAGAGAAGCTTCTCAGCTCATGGCAGCCAGAAAGTAGAAAGAGTGAGATGGGAAGGGATCAGGGACAGAGACAGTCCTCGAAGCCACATCCCCAGTGACCTACACCCTCCAGCCAAGCCCCATCAGCCTAGTTTTCACCACCTCCCCCATAAATCCATTTAAATTATTAATCCATCAAATGGATTAATCCATTGATGACATCTGAGCCCACATGACCCAATCATTTCACCTCTGAACACTGCTACATTGCCTAACACATAAGCTTTTGAAGAACATCCCAGACCCAACCAAAACAATAGTCCTATAGCTTAGGAAGTTGAAATAAACATGCCAAATATTTGCCCCTTCCAGAGGGGCAAATGTAGGCATATAGGGGTCAGGACTGGGTCAGTGATACTTGTTGGGCGAACGAATGTCTCCAGATCAAAATTGGCCCAACCGTCCATTGAATTTAAGTTGTGGGGCATGGCAGCTCAGTAGGACAGCAGATCACACATTCACTCAACTACTACTTATCCACTTCCATGCCAAGAACCCACCCGAGTCACCGGCACCTGGAGGCTTATCATAGTCCTTCACTCCAGCAAAGACAGAGGTACACAAAATAGAGGAAAAGCCATCTCTCCTTGATTGAAAATATGTGTTCTTTTCCAAAACACCAGGAGTGGGAGGCAGGAAAAGGAAGGTGGGGTTTTGATTACACTTTACCATGCCGCTGGATGTGTGGTAAATTGAAGCATTGTTTTAAGGAATTGTAGGCATTTCCAGCAGGAGAAATATGAGAACAGTTTGATCATGGTAATGTTGATTTTAATTTTAAATTGCATTCCATGTGGAAATTTAAAGCCAATGTGGACAAATGGATGATCTAAAACACCTAACCCTAGGCAGGGAACTGAAGGTTTGAGACATAGCTGCTACTTTTGAATTTAAATGTGAAGAATTACACAAGCTGTCTCTTTCTCTCTCATTTGACTTCTGCCATTAGGCCCTTTACAACCCAAATCACGTGATGAGCCGCTCCAAGGTCTAACCTCCCCACTAGGTACCAACCATCATCTTCCCTGAGTTGGGTGCAACCTCCCCACTAGGCACAACTTCCTTACTAGATGCAATCTCCCCTCTGGGTACTGTCCCCTTCTGTGGATGCCAACGTCCCCCTGGGTGCCACCCACTTTGCTATGTGCTCATCTCCTCACTGGATGCCATTTTCTGCTAAATGCTGTCTAAACAGTGCAACCCTCACCAAGAACAATAAACACCCATGTCTGCATGGACCTAGATAGTTAACAAGTTACCTTCATTCACAAGGTCTCCTATGACCCTCGTCAGTGCCCTGGGAGGCAGTGAGTGACATCCACCACCTTCCAGATGAGGAAGAAGAAACCCAGAAAGGGAAAATCACTCCACTCATATCCTCATTTTTTTCCCCCAAATGCCCTGTTCATTTCATGACACTATGCTACACTGTGGATCCCACAGGGTGTCGACTTTTGTGTTAACTGGCTCAACCTGAAGAGAGCAGACATGTGTCTGTCCATAGTCCACCCTGCACTCACATTGAGAACCACAGGGTACAGGTTCTCTAGGTAGCTACCTCTGAAATAGATGGGAAAATGTGGGAACCTGGAAGAAGTCACCCCACTGTCCCCTCACCTACCTCCCAGGAATGGTAAAAGATAAAAGAAATTATATTGGTCATTCATGTATTGCCATGACTGGCACCAAAACATTGGATGGTGTTAATATAAGTCCAATATAGAAGGATGCTCTGGGAGAAAAGACTCATCTACATCCTGGTACAGCACTGTCATGCCAAGGCATTGAGAAGTTCCATCTCTCACTTGGCATCAGGCCTGGGTCCTTGTCCAAATACTTCCTTTGCAAGGCAATGTGCCATACTCCCCTGAGGTCTTCTGTCTCTGCAAATGCATTCTAAATGTGAGGAAGACCACATGCTGCACTCACCTTCCGGAACTGTCAACCACTGCACAGCAAGGAAGAAGACGGCTACCACCATGTGCAAAGAGGACTCGCAGGCCAGTATCCGGCCTGGCCCTATGGGGATCCTTTTCAGCCACTGATAGTGTGATGGTCACACTGAGCTAGACTGCATGACTAACAAAAGGGATGGGTCCAGCCCAGCTGATATGACAGGTGGGCTCTGGAATTTCCAACACTCTCTGTATGTCCGGGAGACCACAGGGCTTTTATAGCTGTAAACTCTGCAGTTCCAAATGGTGTACCAAAATATAACAGGCTCGTATGCAAGAGGGTGCGCTCAGAAATGTACGACGTGCTATGTGGGTACTACAAGCGGAAAGAGGGAAGAGAACTATTTTAGCAAGCTGTTGAACTGCTTCATTTTTAAAGACCCACAATCTGAACAAGCTTGGGAAATATGGGGGGTTAAACCAGCTG